GGGGGCGGGGCCGGGGGGCGGGGGCCCGCGGCGGGATCGGAGCGCGCGGGGGGATCGGAGAGGGCACGGGGTTCCTTGGAACGAATGGGGGTCCCTGGAGCGCGTGGAGGCTCCTTGGAGTGCGTGGAGGCTCCTTGGAATGCGTGAGGGGTCCTTGGAGCACATGGAGGCTCCCTGGAATACATGGGGGCTCCCTGGAGTGCGTGGAGGCTCCTCGGAGCGCGTGGAGGCTCCTTGGAACATATGGAGGCTCCCTGGAGCACATGGAGGCTCCTTAGAACATGTGGACGCTCCTTGAAGCGCATGGAGGCTCCCTGGAACATATGGAGGCTCCTCGGAGCGCATGGAGGCTCTTTGGAACATATGGAGGCTCCCTGGAGCACGGGGAGGCTCCTCGGAACATATGGAGGCTCCCTGGAGCACATGGAGGCTCCTTAGAACACGTGGACGCTCCTTGGAGCGCGTGGGGGCTCCTTGGAACATACGGGGCTTCTCGGAACATACGGGGCTCCTCGGAGCGCGTGGAGGGTCCTCAGAGAGGGCAGGGGCGCCCCTAAGGGCATCGGGGCTCCTTGGAATGCCCGGAGGCATAGGGGCTCCTTGGAATGCACGGAGGCTCCTTGAAGCACGTGGAGGCTCCTTGGAGCACGTGGGGCTCCCCTAAGCGCATGGGGGCTCCTTGGAGCGTGTGGAGACTCCTTGGAATGCGTGGAGGCTCCTCAAGGAGGACAGGGGCTCCTCTAAGGGCACGGGGGCTCCTTGAAACACATGGGGGCTCCTCTAAGCACATGGAGGCTCCTTGGAGCACGTGGGGGCTCCTTGGAGAGGGCAGGGGCTCCCCGGAATGCGTGGGGGCTCCTTGGAGCGCGTCGGGGCTCCTCGGAACACATGGAGGCTCCTTGGAGAGGGCAGGGGCTCCCCTAAGAGCATGGAGGCTCCTCTAAACACATGGAGGCTCCTTGGAACATGTGGGCGCGCCTCTAAGCACATGGAGGCTCCTTGGAGAGGACAGGGGCCTCCCTAAGGACATGGAGGCTCCTTGGGACACGTGGAGGCTCCCTGGAGCGCATAGAGGCTCCTTGGAGAGGACAGGGGTTCCCCTAAGGGCACGGGGGCTCCTTGGAATGCGTGGGGGCTCCTTGGAACACAGCGGGGCTCCTTGGAGAGCGTGGAGGCTCCTCTAAATACATGGAGGCTCCTTGGAGCACAGCAGGGCTCCTCGAGGACGACAGGGGCTCCCCTAAGGGCACGGAGGCTCCTTGGAGTGTGTGGGGTCCTCAGAGAGGGCAGGGGCTCCCCTAAGGGCACGGGGGCTCCCTGGAGCGTGTGGAGGCTCCTTGGAACATGTGGGAGCTCCTCTAAGCACATGGAGGCTCCTTGGAGCGTGTGGAGGCTCCTCTAAACACATGGAGGCTCCTTGGAGCACGTGAGGGCTCCTCTAAGCACATGGAGACTCCTTGGAGAGGACAGGGGCTCCCCTAAGGGCACGGGGGCTCCTTGGAGCACACAGCGCATGGAGGCGCCTCTGAGCACACGGAGGCTCCTTGGAGAGGGCAGGGGCTCCCCTAAGGGCACGGGGGCTCCTTGGAGCACATGGAGGCTCCTCGGAGTGCGTGCAGGCTCCTTGGAGCACGTGGAGGCTCCTTGGAGCACGTGGGGGCTCCTTGGAACATAGTGGAGGCTCCTTGGAACATAGTGGAGGCTCCTTGGAACATAGTGGAGGCTCCTTGGAACATAGTGGAGGCTCCTTGGAGCACGTGGGGGCTCCCCTAAGGGCATGGAGGCTCCTTGAAGCATCTGGAGGCTCCTTGGGACACGTGGAGGCTCCTTGGAGAGGACAGGGGCTCCCCTAAGGGCATGGGGGCTCCTTGGAGCACATGGGGGCTCCTCGGAGCACGTGGAGGCTCCTTGGAGAGGGCAGGGGCTCCTTGGAACATAGTGGGGCTCCTTGGAGCATGTGGGGGCTCCCCTAAGGGCATGGAGGCTCCTTGGAACATGTGGAGGCTCCTTGGAGCACATGGAGGCTCCCTGGAGTGCATGGAGGCTCCTTGGAGAGGGCAGGGGCTCCCTAAGGGCATGGGGGCTCCCTGGAGCACATGGGGGCTCCTTGGAGCACGCGGGGGCTCCTTGGAACATAGCGGGGCTCCCCTAAGGGCATGGAGGCTCCTTGGAGCACGTGGAGGCTCCCTGGAACACGTGGAGGCTCCTTGGAGCACGTGGGGGCTCCTTGGAACATGTGGAGGCTCCTTGGAGCACGTGGAGGCTCCCTGGAGTGCATGGAGGCTCCTTGGAGAGAGCAGGGGCCTCCCTAAGGGCATGGGGGCTCCCTGGAGCACATGGGGGCTCCTTGGAGCACGCGGGGGCTCCTTGGAACATAGCGGGGCTCCCCTAAGGGCATGGAGGCTCCTTGGAGCACGTGGAGGCTCCTTGGAGCACATGGAGGCTCCTTGGAACATAGCGGGGCTCCTTGGAGCACGTGGGGGCTCCCCTAAGGGCATGGAGGCTCCTTGGAGCACGTGGAGGCTCCTTGG